AAGAAAATTTAAAATCAACAAAGATTTGATGTATAAAGTAAAAGCTTAGGAGTGAATTAAGTTGACCAATGAATAATTAACATGAACTTTGTTTCGGGACGGAGGTAGTAATATTCTATACTCCCTCCATCCCTTAAACTTGGGCAAGTTTGATCGGCATAAGAAATAGTAAAATAAAAATTTTGTGGTTGAAGTTTGTGCAGAGAAAAGAGGTCAAATTAACAGAAATCACAAATATAATTCTTGAATTAAAAGTGAAAGTGATAAAGTTAATTGAACAACTAAGAAAGAAAGTTGACAATGTTTTAAGGAATGAAGGATGTACATAATAATTTGATTATATATATTAGTAAAAATCACGATCAAAGTAAGATGCTTTATTTAAAAAGCAACATCATGATTAAAGTGACTCAAGGTAAATCTTGTTAGTATCAATTTAACAACATATAGCTTGATGAAGAGTTCTTATTCTCGTAAGTTCTTACTTTCAATGAAATTGTTTTGCTTAAAAAGCATGTATCGATATAAAAAAAAACTATTCAATTCAAGCGTGCTTGTAGTTCATTTTGCATATTAACTTTGATGTTTTTACCTTATTTTAGATTTTAATTCTGCTTTTATTGGGTCAAGTCTAATCCCTCAATAATTGTCTTTTTCCCTTATTAACTTTGATATTTTTAATTGGATTAACATTTTTTGGTCAGGTGGTTTGTTTAAGTCTGTTGTGACTTGAACTGGTATGATATATATACTTCCTTCGTCCCGCAAAGAAGTTCCTAGTTTGACCTACACACATATTTATGTAAGGTAGAGTTTTGTTTTGACTTTCCAAGTATACCCTTACTTTATGTCAAATCAAACAAAAAGTGGGAAAAAAGTAAGGGTAGTTGTGACTTTTTGGTTTAAAGTAGTTTCCTTTTATAGAAATGGGAACTTCTTTTTGGGACATCCATAAAAGGAAAGTGGAAACTTCTTTGCGGGACAGAGGTAGTATATTTTATGTGTATTTTACAAATATAAAAATTTGTCTGTTCTTATACGATTTGGTATGTTTAAATCAAGTCCTGTCTATAACTGAAACCAGTTCAATTATAAACATCCTTAATTGCCTTTTAGAGCATTTGAAATTGCCCAAACAAATAAAATGAATGAAGTCGCTCCCTACATATGTGTTACCCAGACCAGTTTTGTGTGGCCATTGTGTTCGTCCTGTGAGCATTACACAAAAGATTTCTAAATGCTCGTAGGTCTCTGATTTTGATCCGGTATGATTTGAGACCGAAATCAATCTAAGTAAAATTAAAGAAAACTAAGTACTACACTGACTAGGAGAGCTAGGGGGGCTTATAACCTAGCCCTCGGCCTACTATACACTAAATTCACAAATGTTTTAACTATTTGTGTAAAACTTTCTTCTAAAGATATCCAAAAATATATTTTTTTACTTATTCGGTGCTCTGGTTATGCCCCTTACTACATTAATTCCTATAAATGAAAATAAAAATTTGAAAGTCCAAAAAAAAAAAGAAATAAAAATTTGAAAAATGTTTTGCTTTAAATATGTGCACCCTGTTTAACAAAAAACGGAGTTAATACTTTGTGCAAAACTTTAATCTTTATAGAAATATTTTGTGTGACAAAATGTCACTTGATACATTATATTATACGGAGTATTATATATAAGTAATATTTAAGCATTATTGTTAATTTAAGGTTTGTTGCCAAAATTTTAAAATGCACTGCATATCAAATAATTAACTATTTTATAATAAAAAGTAATAATTGTGTATAATAAATAATAATTAACTATTTTATACAGAGTAATAAAAAGCAAAATCTAATCTGATACGATCCAAATCTATTTAAATGTAGTTTTATACAATTTGATATGATCTAGTCGCAATATTTGCTTATTTTATTAATTTTATTTATTTCAGAATTTAAAGTTGAGTAAATGGTTAACGTGATATGCAAAAATTATGATGCTTTTGCACTTTAAAACGTTAAACCCTAAACCAACCGGTTAAGTAATGAATACAGAGTAATTAATTTTGTTTCTAGATTGCTCTTATATGCACATAAGTTGTAAGTAAGTTGATTAGGAGAAGTATTAGCAATTATTACATAAATATATGCTCCCTCCGTCCCAAAAATAACTTCCCACTTTTCTTAAATGGATGTCCCAAAATTAACTTCACACTTCTTCCCACTTCCTTATTTGGCAAATTATCAACATCAAAACAGTGTCAAACAGTGACAAACAGTGCTAAGCAATGTTCACACAGTGCTAAATAGTGTCTAAACAGTGTCAAAACAGTAAAATTTTGGAAAAATCAAACCAAAATTTTAATCTACTTAAATGTGTGTGCTGCTAGTCAAACTGAGAAGTTGTTTTTGGGACGGAGGGAGTAATTAAATAGATTATTAGGAAAGTTGAACCTATGAAAGGACGTATACGATATACTCATATACTCACGAATAGAAATTGACTACAATCCTTACCAGAGTGAGCCGGCCCGAACCCTCTATAAATTGACCCACACTGTTACGGCTTCCCTTCACAGCGATATCCTCCTTTCTCTCTCTTAGGGCTACCAATTTTTAGATCCGACCTTCGTAATCAATCTCCGCCATGTCTACCTCGAAGATGATAGTCCTCAAGAGCTCCGACGGCGAGACCTTCGAGGTCGAAGTGATGGTGGCTGAGCAGTCTCAGACGATCAAGCACATGATTGACGACGACTGCGCCGATACTGTGATCCCCCTGCCGAACGTCACCAGCAAGATTCTCGCTAAGGTCATTGAGTACTGCAAGCGCCATGTCGAGGCTGGTAAGTCAGAGGATAAGCCTAGCGAGGACGACCTCAAGTCGTTCGATGCTGAGTTCGTCAAAGTTGACCAGGGAACCCTATTCGATCTCATCTTGGTATGGCTCTTTCTCCGATTCTTATTGTGGTTCATGTGTATTTGTTTGGTAACGGATATTAAGCTGTTTTATCTGATGAGTATACTGCTGGTGCTAATTTGATGTTAGGGTAATCGTGATCGTTTGCTATTTTGGTCATAGGCTGCCTATGTAGATCTCGATTGCTTTACATTGATATTAGTCTTCGTGTGCCTTTTTCAAAATATATGTATCAAGTTATTTTTTTAAATGTGGTTTGATTTATCAATGGTCTTCACCTACACAGATGAGTGATTGCTTTATTCAATAAGGGATTTGAAACTGCATACGCTTTTCTATACGTCGGTGCTGAGCCGATTGCTTTTTAGATTTCCTTTACAAACACTACTGGTTTGGAACCGTTCAAATACCATCTGGCTTTAAAGCTTTATTTCACTGTTTTGGTAGCCCAATTTACATGTTGCGTTTATGTATTGGTGTGTAATCTATTTGAACCATTTACACAGCACGTATTCTTGTACGTTTTTGCTCTTCCCTGTTATATGATTATCTTTTATTGGGTAGTTTATATCTTTGTCACAATGTCACTGCTTTAGATTAAAAGTTTGTAGTTTATGCTAAATTTTGATATGTATTTGAAATGTTAATCTACATTAAGAATACAAAACATGGTATATTGCCTATGGTGTTTGCATTTTTTGTGGTAATTTAATGTATTACCATTTGGATTGTAGGCTGCCAATTACCTCAACATAAAGAGCTTGCTTGATCTCACCTGTCAAACTGTTGCTGACATGATCAAGGGGAAGACTCCGGAGGAGATCCGCAAAACATTTAACATCAAGAATGACTTCACACCAGAGGAAGAAGAGGAGGTCAGAAGGGAGAATGCTTGGGCATTTGAGTGAACTTCAAGCCACCCTGTTTACTTGTTGTTTAATCGTGTTTTGCTGCTACATATCCCCTAGTAGATTCTCCAAGGGCAACTCTTTTATGTGGTAGTAGTAAATATGACTGCTCTAGTACTCTCTTTTGTTATCGCCTCAGAACGTGTGGTATTCAGCCCTCTCTGTCAAGAGAGTAGTTTGAATCTTTGTTATCGCTTATCATCCTATTGTTCCTATGGTTTTAATGTTATGAAATTGCCCTATTTTTCAATGCTATTGATTTACTCCCAGCTTTGAATATCTTCTTCTCTACTAGTTGAGCACAATTAACTTAACTAGTGTACAAATGTATTACTACATTCAAGAAAGGCATTATAGTAACGAAATTGAAGAAATCTTCACGTGTACGGTCTTTAACTACATATTTTATCTACATTTAAACATTCGAATGCTTGAAAAGAGCTTTCTCAATCACTTTACACACTACTGGTTTGTGCCCGAGTCTAATTGAGGAACTACAGTTGAGTTTGTGACAACCAGCACCAAATAATTGAGCCCAAGAGTCATCGTAGGCTCGATTTTGTTTCTTTTCGAACAAAATCAAATTCAAACGTTAACATACAAGAATAGTGCGCTCTGTTGGTGATGCGTACGAGAAACCTTTACATTGATTCGATAGTACAGTTTTACAAATCAAACATACGTAGTATACAATATAGATATACATCACAATAAATACTTCCCATGCGCAATAATACTAAGGTGATCCCATTTTTTAACTTTTTATGCGTTTAACTATTAAAGGCAACAACACAATCGGCCAGCTTATATTTCTAATTATTTACCACTACAAGTCTACAACGGCTTTAAAACGTGTCATCAGTTCATTATTACAATTTACAAGTAATACCGAAGTTCATAAACAATTTAGTTTATGACATCTGAAGGGTCACAACTACAGACAAAACCAAGAATTGGTCACTTTGACTTGCTCCCAAAAAGAAACTTTCATCAATGTTAACGTGATAAGAAGGGGAGTTTAAAAGAGGGGAACTTCTGTAAGTTCTATTCATCTATGTTTAGTGTAGATGTTGTATACTTGTATTCATGCAACATGTCCCTTACTAAAATCGATAAAACATAAAATTTGTATTGCTTGCAAGTTGCAACAATTAATTAATAAAATAATTTAGCAGCAAAATAAATGGAAGAAAAAACTCGGGCATCTAACAAACTAGATGTATCATATTTTGTGCTGCTCATGCATATTGTGCTGCTCATCTACCCATATTTTTGGGTAAACATATTTGAAGTGCTATATCAATATATCACTCATACCAATATAAACATTACATATGAGAAAAGCCTATAATAATGAGATAGTTGAAGAAATCTGCTGAATTTTGTGGTATTAGACAAGACACTTTCTTTTGGAGTCAAGCTGCAATCTTCAAGGTTAAGTATGTTGACATTCATTCCCTTTCTTACCTGTGTTTGAACCCCCACCAGAAAAAAAAAGAAGAAGAAATTGACTCTGTTATAGTGCACAAGTATTTCTGACATTCACTTGTTAGCTTTATAACTTAAATGATGTTTTCTTTATTTCTGCACTACTTTTTGTACTGAAACAAAAGGCTGAGATCATGTTTCTGTTCCTAAAAGGTACAAGCGAAGTGGTAAAATGATGCTGCTGGGGCAAAGTATAGTGGAAAGGCTAAGGCCCATAGTGGGACCAAAGAATTGGGATTATTGTGTGTGTTGGAAGATGAGTGAAGATCAGATGTTTCTTGAGTGGATGTGTTGCTGCTGTGCTGGCGCTACTGATGGGGCCCACAATTGTGACGAAGAGTTTCTTTACCCAACTTCTTCATCTTCTTCTCTACCTTGCAGAGATGTCATAAATCAGCATCCCCGCACTAAATCTTGCGATTTACTGTCACTATTGCCCACCTCCTTCATTCTCGATTCTGGGTACTATCTATATACGGAGTATTTTTTTAAAAAAATCAATTGCTTAGGTTTGAAATTAAAATCTCCAATCAAGTACTATCTATTTCTATGTCTCTGTGTGTGTGTGTATGATTCAAATTAGAAAGAAATGTAACGGCCAGTTTAGCAATGGTTATTTTGAAGATACTACTGAATCTACTGAATTTTCTACAAGGTAATATCCATTTCAACAAGGCTTATTACACACAAAAAATCCAACGTTTAGAGTTCGTGACAAAACTAGTCTATCGTATACATAATTACTTAAACAAAGCCATCCTTTCAATATCCAAGACGCAATTTAGAATCTGTTTCCTTCCGTCCATTTTAGTCCGTTAGTTGCTTACCTGGCATATGAAAGAAGCTCAAATATTCTGATTCATCAGCCAAGGTGTTATTAAACTATTGAATTAATTAACTATTAATTGAGAAAGAATACTCATTCATGAATCATGAGGTACAAGTCTCCTTGTTCGTAAAATCTAGCCTTACCAGTCAAACTCAAAGAGGCTTCTCATATGTATAGGTTTAAGAAGAAACTTGCTTCTCAAAAATAAATCAAAGGCATTGGTTGCTAGTAGTGAAATTTAAAAATTCCACTTTACCTATCCATAGTTATGGGTTACGTTGCTAACTCCAATCTTTAGTCAATATTAATGCCACTATCCAGAACTACTCATAATAAGTTGAAGCCAGATTTTTTGCCATCAATTACTACTTATCTTACTTCCAGAAACTTAAATCTACAAGAGTTCCAAAAGTTTTGTGCAAAACCAGAGTTTTGCACAAAACCAGACTTTTGCACAAAACCAGAGTTTTGCACAATAGGTATTGTGAGTATTGATGACATTTAGAGATAGTCATGAGAACATCCATCCATTTGCCCCTCCAATTGTTGTTTTTGGAGAGTTTTTGGAGACTCCATGTGAGCATATGCAACCTTTACTTGTTGAATTTCTTCCTTCATTATCTTTCTTTTATTGGAATCTAAAACTATCATTTCTTCAAACTCTCTCAATTTGAGTTCCAATTCTTTAACCTTGTCATTTAAGGTATTTATTTTATGTAGTTCATCAACGTGCTTCACTAGAGGCTCAATGACGTCTTGGTGCAGATCTTCCATCCATAAAAAATATCCACAATCCTTTTATTTAACTTAGAAATCATTATACTTCATTCACACATTTCATCAAACACCTACTATGGTATATAAGAATCAACTTATTACTTTGTCAGACAAACCTCACCTGCCAATATGGGCACTTGATAGATTCTTTGTTTTTTTGTTTTCATTGTAGAAGTAGCTTAAATATCAGAGAGGTAGGGTTTGTGTTCTCAACTCAAAGGAGAGAAATGAATCCACGTTCTTTTTACATAGAAATAAATATTAGAAATGACGCATCAACTAATAGATTAGAAGGCTAAATCCTAAGTGTACAAGACACATAGGCACTTAACGGACACTAACGAATCAGCTTGGACAGATTATATATTTGTCTTGGATATTGAAAGGATAGACTAGTTTCGTCACGAACTCTAAACGTTAGATTTTTTTTGTGTAATAAGCCTTTCAACAATGAAAAAGCCAAAAGCTACTTGTGCTGGTCATTCTACTAATCAGAACTTTATAATTGCAGGGTGTATGCACAAGCGATTGTATCAAACCAGCCAAAATGGTTGAATTTCTCACAGCTCTTAGAATCAAATGATTCTAATGTAAGTACGTGTCTGGGTATATACACATATATAAAGCACATATATATCTATACATAATATATAGGAGTAGAAAATTTTCTTTACTCCCGTTTCTTAACGATCCTGTTTTTGCAGGAAATAATCGGGACCCGTGTGTTGATCCCACAACCACTTGGACTAATTGAGCTATTTACTGCAAAACTGGTGCCTGAAGATCAACAAGTGATAGACTTTGTCTCAGGTACATGCAGTATATACTTGGATCAGCAAGCATGCATGATGATGAACTCGAGTGGTGGCATTCTAGCGAATGGTCATAATAACGGAGGAGATGATGATCAAATGGACGATCCTCACCATCTCTTCTCGCCTTCCTCCTCAAATCTATCTTCTCTGCCTATGAATTTTCTCCCACAGATGAGTACTTCTAGCATGTTAATGCAGAACACGAGTGAATTGAATGGCTTCAGGAGGGAGAGTGGATTAGATAATGAGATGGATGTGGTGGTGGTGCAGAAACAAATGATGATGGAGAAAAAAGATGAAGGAGGAATCGATGATGAATCATCATATAACAGACAGGAGAATGGTCAGTCACACTCCATATCCGATAGTGATCAGAATGAGGAAGAAGATGATGGAAAGTACAGGAGGAGGAGTGGGAAGGGTAATCAATGCAAGAACCTTGTGGCTGAGAGGAAGAGAAGGAAGAAACTTAACGAAAGGCTCTACGCTCTTCGTGCCTTGGTCCCAAACATTTCCAAGGTTATTCACTTTCTTAGATTTTTTCTTGCTTCCCTGTATTCAATTACACTCCAGTTTTATTAGATCCTCAACTAGGTTATTTGCGGTTCTTAAAACAAAAAGTGTAGGAATAGTGAATAGTTGGAGATTTGGAGTGAATAGATGAAAAATTAGAAAAGTAATAAAAAGATGATTTTTTTGTATTTTGATATCATAGCATATATCAAATCATGAAAGAGGAGCAAACTTAACAACATTCTAAAGAAGGAAGACGAAGCAACTAATCAAAAAGTGGGAATATAATATACTACGTATGTGATACCATCACCTATTCAATAATCTTGATATGAGCTAGACCCAATTTAACATGGCATTAATTGGATGCATATGTCCACAACTTATCAAACCACACAAACTTGTGGGTTGTGGAGGTGTTGAGTGTTGACTACCTCACATCAATGGTTTACTATGTTTGAGTCTACACTGTGTTTGGGTATTGGCTATAATGTGTAAGTGTGACATAAACATCAAAACTCACCTTTTAAGGACTTTTTTGGTGTGAGTTAAGCACAGATCTGAATACACCCATGTAAAATATTTTAACTCGTTTAAATCATATTGATAGTTGGATAGAGCTTCCATACTTGGAGATGCTATAGAGTATGTGATGGAGTTGCAAAAGGAAGCAACAGATCTTCAAAATGAGCTAGAATTGAACTCTGATGATGACGAGGAAGCAGCAGGAGGTAGAAAACGAAACAATCTCAGCAGAACAGAAGACAGGAACAGGATTCCCCAGGTCCTGAAATCTGAACGAGAAAAACTTTCATCAGTTCTTGAATCAGAGAAAACAGATGACAAAGTCCAACAAATGGAGGTATAATATGTAGTTCATATGTGCTCTCTTCTTGTATTGTGAATAAAATTAAGTTTAGGTCATCACTGATGAATGTAATTCAGCCTCAAGTGGAAGTAGCACAGCTGGATGGGAGTGAGTTTCTGGTGAAGGTGTTCTGTGAACACAAGCCGGGTGGATTTGTGAGGTTGATGGAAGCTCTGGATTCTCTAGGCCTGGAGGTCACGAATGTGAACACCACACGACACACCTGTCTAGTGTCAAACAACTTCAAAGTTGAGGTATGCTATTGTGCTTCAAGAACTACTTGTCAGACATTATGTCGAACACCTATGGTACAAAGTTTTCGGATTTTGTGCAGAAAAGGGATAGCGAACTGGTACAAGCGGATCACGTTCGGGAGTCCCTATTGGAGCTAACGCGAAGCACTGCTGGGAGAGGGTGGCCTTCGGAGATGGGTAGAGAGGGTGTGGAGAGCAGCGATCTCGGCGGCGGAATGGAACAGAACCACCACCACCGGCAGCACCACCTCAACCACCATCTTCACCAGCTCAACAATTCCCACCACCTCCATCGCCTGCATAACTAAATCAGAAAGGGCTCAATGCCCATTTCTGTACGATAATGTCATAACAAAGTTTGAACCATAGTAATTCCAACTTCCAAGCAACATATTGGAGTCTGGTTTAGCCGGTCAAAAATTTAATCATATTAAGGCAATTTTTTCCAACTGCTCCGATGAATTTACCCGGACTACCTGGCAATTAATGATACGTAGTACATTTACTCAGTTGCATGAAAGTTTCAATAGTTTTACTTTCACGTTATCTGATGCGTAACTTTGACTGTAATTATATTTATTTACATATTAGTAAAAATTAAAAAAGTTAATATGTTGAAAATTTACATTAATACAAATTTATTAATATTTTATACATAATATTTTTATTATATATATTATTAGAAAATCATAGTCAAAGTAAGGTATGTGAAGAGTGCAGAAATTCCAATGTTGCAACTTTTATGGAACGGATGAAGTATTAAAGAACAGAGCTTTTATTGAAGAGCTCGGTTTCGAACCTAAAGAGCTGAGCTAAAGGATCTTCTGAACTCAAACCCGAGTTGAGTTTTAACTTCGGAAAATTAATCGAGTCGAGCTCGAACATAGTAGTATTCGGCTCGGTTCGAACTCGAGTTTATCAAACACCCTCAAATTATAAACATAATTTACATATATGTCAAAATATAAATATAATTAGTATGATTTTCTGAATTTAAATATGATTGTTAACGAACCAAATAGTTATAGAACCATTCAAGCACCAGCCTATTAACGAGCATCACCTAAAATTTTAAATTAGAGCATATTTATTGAGCTTATTGAGCGCTCAGTTCGAACATCGAACGCCTATCAAACCGAACACGAATCTCATTTATAAAGTTCGTCGAGTTTCGAGCTCGAACCCGAATACCACTAATTCCTTATCAAGCCAAACTCGAGCTTTGAATATTCGGGCTCAGCTCGACTCATTAACAGCCCTACCTGGCAGAAAGAATTCGTGATGAAAAGAAAATGAGATAAAATGAGCATTTTTTAACATACAACTTTAAATTAAACAGGCTTGTAAGATGGAAAGAGTCGAACTCACTGGATCAAACTCAGTCCGCATAAGACATTATTAGGATTTTGAATTTTAACTTTGGAATCTGTGATTTGGGATCTGAACATTAAAAGTTTACGTCAAGAATATCGAATACAAATAAGAATATCAACAAATTCGATTTGAATGTTAATCAAACATATTGGATTAATAATAGTTATAATAACATAATAATATTAATATAGCAATAGTAATATTAATAACACTATAATAACTATAATGCACATTCTAACACAATATTAACTATCGATCACCAAGCGGCTATCCCTCCAGTAGGGTTTTTAATTCCGCTGTTACATGCAGGTTATTTCCTTTGAATCGACAAGCACTGATTCCATGGCAGCAATCGAGAGCTCGACATCGGTTGGAGGGTCGCGACAAACGGGAGACAACGCAAGTTTGATGCCAGAAAGTATTGGTCAGGTGGGTCGGTTGATTGGCCAATATGATAATTTGGAAATTGGGTCTGATTAATTGGTGCTTGATGATGATGATAGTGTCTCCGGCGCAGAGGAGAACAGCGTGGAGACGTTTCCAGTGGTCAAAATATTACTAACAAACAAGGTGGAGAGGTTTCCGATCTTCAGAGACTTAATGACTGCTTTGTGCCGTTGTGGCGTCCAGGCAAGGGAGTTTCAATAAAAAAAATGGCGAAAGAATGTATCTTATAAAGTTTAATCATATTGTTGACATGAATCATGTTTTAGACAATGGACCATGGTTGTTTGATCAGAATCCGTTGATGTTAAGAGTCATAAAACCGGGGATATCCCTCTTAAGGTTCCCTTGGTTTTGGTTCAGTTCTGGGTGCAAGTGCACAATGTGCCGTATGACTACTCTAACCTTGCAACTGCTAGGCGGATTGGGAATTATCTGAGGATATTTGTTAGACCGAATGATAATCAGTTTGATGACAAATGGGAATTATATGCGGGTTAGAGTTTGTATGGATGTGGGAAAACCCTGTAAGACGGGAACAATTATTAAGAAATATAAAGGGGAGAGTCATTAGGTAGACTTTAAGTATGAAAAGCTACCAAGTTTTTGATTTGTGTGTGGAGTTATAGGACTTGCAAAGAAATTTTGTCCTATAACCTATGAGAAGGGGGACAAGGCTCTAACTAAACCCTTCAGACCGTGGCTTCATGCGGGAGGGGGGGGGGATCTCGCCCCTCTCTGGGCAACAAGTGGTTGGTTCCTGAAGGGAATTCGGAAGGAGGAGCAAGTAAAATAAAGGGTAGCAATAGGAAAGATCGGGAGCAAAACTCGGGTCATATGGAGAAAGAGGCCCAAAGATTGGTAGTGACTGTTACTGTAATTGGAGACCAGACTGGGGGCACAGGGATGCTAAATGTGAGTGGCGGGTTCGAAGATCGGAAGAAGAGAAGTGCAGGGAAAGGAGGACCCAATTTATTTTGTGTTTTTATTTCGAACTACATGTCATTTTGGTTGTATTTTTATTTCCTAGCAGAGAAACTCTAGAATTTAAGACAGGTGATGAGAATCTGATTTACCTATCATTGGCTCAGTTAAGCCCATTATAGGATCAACGAATCGTATTGCTTCTACGGAGGTGACAGATTCTAAGTCTCGTTTGAGGATAAATGACGGGCATAAGACTTTTTGTCATTTTGTATCTTGCTTCAGGGCCGGCCCTGGTGGTGTGCAGGGTGTCCAACCGCACAGGGCCCAAAAAATTGGTAGGGTCCAATTTTTTTTTTGTAGCAATATACTATACTTCCGCCCCGCTATGATTGTCCCATTTTACCTTATCGGTTCGTCCCATTAAGATTGTTTCATACCAAATTTAGTAAAGTTTGTGTGGCTCTAAATCATTCTTACTTTATCAACTCAATATCAACCACATAAACCACTTTTTATTAATTTGCGTGTCACTCCCTCTTGTCCCAATGTTAACGGGACGGAGGGAGTATTATTACTTAGGTGAACTAGGGCAAGGCTTTGTAGCAAGCATGGTTCGTCACTTCATGTATTCCTCATCTGCAAAGGAGGAGCGTGTATATAGGAACGAAGGAGTAGTAAATTCCCCGTTTCCACCGGTGTGAGAATCTTAAGCTTTAGAAACAAAAAAGAAAAGAAGCGAGGCACGCGAGATTTGAACCCAAGTGAAAATAAAAGCATGCACGCTGATTTCTAAACATCAACCACCGGACCAAATCAACTAATTGTTGAAATATGGACGTACAAGTTTTATATTACCTATTTGTTCTACAAAATAAATAATTAAAATACCTCTTAATAAAAATCGGTTCGGTTCGGTTTGAACCGATTTTATAACTAAAAAAAACCTTCATTAAACTGATTTATGTTCGAGTCCCGACTTTCGGGTCTCGTTTGAGTCGGTGCGGTTTCGGTTAGGTTTTTTTAACTTGTGTTGAAACTTCAAAAAGAAGGTCCGATTATTATTTTTGCACAGGGCCTTCATTTCCTCAGGACCGGCCCTGTCTTGCTTAAATTATGTTATCTTAATATAAGCCACATTCTACCAAAAAACACTATAATAACTTTTAAAAGAAGTTAGTTATACCCTCAATGTGTAGCCCATATTTACATTTATGTATATCGTTTCTGATTTACACAACAAATCGCTTTAAAAAACTACAGAGTATAATTTAAATTTGAAATAGATGTATGTGTATTAATCATAAAATTGATTTACTTTAGTATATCGTACACAACCTAAAAACACATTGATCCATTAAATTTTAAAGAAAGTTTTAATGTTACAAATTAAATTTTAAAAACACATATTAAGTCATATCATACGTTTATGACATAAAATATATAGAAAAAGCTATTTTAAGGTGATATTTGATTAGTATTTAATTTATGATCAAATCAATTTGATATTCGTATATGATTCATTAACCATTCATATGGTTAAATGAATATGAGTACAAATCAAAATTAATATTTGTTTCATATACAATTCGTATTCAAAGAAATTAAATAAATACTCCCTCCGTCCCTATTTCTTTTGCAAAATTTCCTTTTTTGGCTGTCCCAAAATGAATTTCCACTTTACATTTTAAGTATAAAAATACAACTAAAGTGACATTTTTGCCCTCCTTACCCTTTTAAGTTTTAATCTTCAGCACCACCATCATCATTTTCACCCCCACCTTCTCTTATCACCCTACTATCACCCATCACATCCACCCACTTTCTCTCTCAAATTCCAATACGAAGCACAACCATCTTTGTGAATGGAGTCTCAATCCTTCTCCATGGCCAGACTCCTTTTAAAGAAGACGGGCAAACGAAGGGGGCACCGACTTAGGAGAAAAATCAACGCCTAACTTCCCTTGTTTGGTCCCATCAGCTCCGGCTCCACCTAAAAATCCTTAGACCTGAAATGCTTCGTTGAACCAGTTTCTGGCAGATGAGTTGCCACCACTGCCGCACAGCCACCGCGCCGCCGCCCTCGAAGAAATTCACAGATAAATCACCACCGCCCTTGTCGAAATAAATATGAACGCCACGGGTCAAACTATTGAAGCTGCGGATACCACCAGCCATTCAGTTGGAAACTTGACATATCTGTCAAAGAAGGTGGAGATGCTCTTGGACAAAGACAGGATGTCAATGATTGCCTTGTTTCACTTTTTTCCAATAAGCCATGTAGAAGGACGAACAGTAATGCACATCTAACAAAAGTTGTACTTGATTTGAAAATTTTAGGGCCTATTTACTACTTCTTCTGTTGATTTCGGTTTTTATTTTTCAGTTTTTCTATCTTTAGTTTTCTGTTTCTATTTTCTAGTTTTTCATTTTCAAATCTGAAACCATGTTCATCAATTTTTTCACTTTTGTGATCATCTAGAAAACTGACACGTTTACTTCATGGGTTACTAAATGGTGCTTATTAAGACTCGTGTTAATAAGCGACACATAAAATAAGCAATGTTATAAGGGGGGCGTTTGGGTATAGCGGTTTATCCCATACCGCCGATTTTTTACTACAGCAACCGCTGCTTTTTGCAGCGGATTGCTTCTGATCCGCCAAAATACAAACACCCCCAAGATCATGTTTACTTCAAAAGGTTTAAAATACTGTTTAACATTAAAATGTCCAAAATAACTCTATACATATATAGACACACAAACATTCATGAACACAAATATATAATATAATATGTGAGATCGATCACCTCGTACGTGTACCCATACTCCTAACCCCTACCCTACCCCTATACCTCGTACCCCCACCCTACACCCAATTCCACACCCTTGACTTC